TTTTTTCACGGAGACGTAAAACACTTTCAAATCGCATACCTTTTGGACATTCAAGTAAAAAGGTTAATTTAGCCAATTGTTATTACATAATTTTGCAACACTAATTTATTTTTCTTGTGGTAACACAACCATTCTTATGTCACAGATTAAAAAACTATCCTTATTCGTTTACATTCATAGTCCATACTTTATATCTATTTAGACAGGTAAATAAATTGCACATAACTTCTATCGAGACTTTATTTAGGAATTACAATACGTATAGAGCATTTTGATTGGTGGATTGAAGATAATTAACCAATCAGAGTGCTTATTCCATCAGAATAATTACTGAATAAAGCCTTTGAGATTAAAATGGCAAAAGACTTATTATAATCAGCGACATAGAGGTCTAATCTAATTTTAAATAAAATTTTCTAAACTTTATAGCAAAGTATTAAAGTATCTATTTGCAAATCAATGCTTCGTCACGTGACTGGACTTATGCCGTTTTAATCTCAAGAATAAATTTGGAGTACAGAAAGAGTTTGAGGTAACTATTTTCTTGAACATATTTATTGATTCCTTCAATATCACACTGTTTTTGTATCAATTATTACAATTATTATTCGATAAATATTAATATTTTATTATTATTATTATATACAGATACACATTAGAGAATTGTTTAAGTTATATTATTTGAATAATTTTAAGTACTAATAAACGAATATTAATGCTCGCTCCTTACTTATACATAGCTATAGTTGAATTATGGCATGAGGTTTAAATGTTATGAGAGTTGAGTCATTAGTGGCGCTAGTGTAGATTTAGGTCTCCTTGCCTTTTTGACTATTCGCCTATTTCAAGCTAGTCCTTATCAACTCTTGTTGATAAGTTTGGAAGGACTACATATCTCACTACCACCTACTAACGTTAATAAAATAGAAAAAAGTCATGAAAAAATAATACTTCGTGTTGCCTAATTTAGTGGACCAATAGTTTCATATTTTATAAAAACCTATTCACTAAAACATTTAGGTCAATCTTATCTTATAAGTAAGGAGAACTAAAAATTACGTGAGCGGTCTAACAACAGTCACAATTTAAAACAATTGCTTCTTAAATTATAACTGCGATTAGACATTTAAGAAAATGTAAATAAAGGTCAATTTCATATGCACTTACTCGATTCGATCTTAGTACAAATCAGACCATTCACAACACGTATATAATCTTATTTTGGAATAAGATTCTTTAGTAATTCCCTGTCTTTAAAGCAGTTTTGGTATTAAATTCTGAACCTTACTACAGACTGAATTAAGGATCAAATCATTTAGCAATCTTAGTGCGAGAGAGAAACGAACCTTGCCTTATCAGTAATATGGTTCATAATCGTCAAAACCGCCATTATTCACTACACATTAACTTCATTCGACAATACAATTGTCATTGTTTAATTAGATAATGTTTACGACAATTACACACGTAACCCTTACAATTTACACATCTACGCCTTTAAAATAGAACGCAATAGGTAAAAATAACCCCTAATTCGTTATATATAGAGTATCAAATTGTCTATCTATGAAATAATTTTTGACATTTGAGCTAAACAGATGGCGAAGACAAGACAAGAGAAAATGACAATAAATAATTTGTTTCTAATGTAGATTTTTCTTCTTTTTCGACTTTTTCTTTTTCGACTGTATAATTAGAGATCACTATGAGATTTATAGCAAAAACAACTCCATAGACACACAATGTCGTATTGATGTAATATTTATTTACTAGGAAATAAGGGCAATTTTTACTTAAATGTGTTCTATAAGAAGATAGATGTACAGGCAAAACACCACTACTTCCAAATGAACTTCCCAATAAAAGCCAAATAACAGTAGTTATTTAAAGAGCTGATTTTTCAATAGTCAGATAAATGTATTCTGAGGAATAAAATTGTTGCTGTCACTGTCTTATACAAACATTCTGACGCGACAGCATCATAATTATTCCCCGGACAACTTTTATGTAACCATTGAAAAATCAACTCTAAAGGAAGTAGTGTATGAGCCAAACATTTTTTCCTAACGTTACGTTTCCGCGAAACATCGACATAAAATGACTATTTAAAATGGCCATCGAACACACCAATAACATTAACATTTCAAATCTTAAACATTTGCCTATTTAAACATTAATATTTTCAAATACACACTAAACATTCCAATTTCTTCCAATAAATTCGGATGGACACAACTCTACCACACTCCTCTTAACCACTGAAGGGGCAAAGCAGACATGTACAATGACAATGTAATACCCACTTTTCCCCCGTAATAATTCTCTGGTTAACAAACTCAAACGTCACAGAAACAAAATAATAATTTAAACATAAAAATTCAAATCGAACAGTAATTATATTTATTTTAATTTTATTTTTTAATTACATTAATGTTAGTACAACCTTATTCTAAATTTAAGCAAGACTTAACTCAGCTTATTTGGTAGATTTTATTTTTTCTAACGAAAATCGCAAATCGGTGCTAAGTAAATATAAAAAAAATGTTTGTTCACGCCTAAAAAGCCAAATTGTTTATTGTTTTGTTTGTTTATTATATTAACATACTATCGATTATATTGTTTTTTTTTATTTATATTAATAGTAGAATATAGGATTCATTTGATTGGCCATTTAATTTAGAAAATTACTACATATAAAATATTTAATCCTTTTCTAATTACTATTATTGAATTTAGTGTCACATTTTCAAACATAGCTTAATAAATTCATTAAGCTGCAACGATTCTCATTGACAACTTAAATAAAGTATTGGAGATACGAACCGTAAAAAAATCCACTTTAACGTAGTACATTAAAGATTAGACTTAAATCCCAAACAAGTGAGAATTTCGGATGATAAAATCTTGTTAAAATCGCATTTGAATTTCAATTAAGAATCCTGACAATAAATGTTTAGATAAAATTATAAAGGGTAAGAAGGTAAAGATCGTGCCCCTCCATATGCGAACGCCAGACAAGGCGACGACGCTCAAATCCCTATGAACAACATAAACCAGTGCAACTAACGTCACAGAATATTTCACGCATACCTACCAAAATCATTTTTTGCATTATCTTTCCCTACTTAACAACATCCCTATCAATCTCATATAAGAACAAATAATACTAGTTTGTTCGTCGACCAATCAAATAGAATCGCCGTAGAAAGCAAGCGAGCCTAGCAGAGAGATAAGTATATACATTGAAATATAAACCTTCTGTACATATCACAGACCAGCGGGCTTTACTTGTATTTTTAAATCTAACTTAGGCTTCATTGTAATGCTATTAGCCTGAGCAGAGTACAATTTGTTACTATCTGCAATATTCTCGCAGATACCATTATCATATAGGGAACCATTATCATACTTTTTTAATGGAGTAGGAGGCCAACGAGCATGTTAATCACTTGATGGTTAGTGACCAACGCCTTCATGGACACCTACAACAATAGAAGTCACAAGCGCACTGCCGGCTATTTAAGAAGCAATACGCTCGTTTCTTGAATGTTGGAAGATCGTATCGGTTTGTAAATATTACCGCCGAAAGATCATTCCATTCAATTCAAGATTTTATTAAAATATTGGACAGATTTAATAGCTGTCTATGATAAACCTGGAGTTTAAAGTTCGTGGCAGTGATGCGTTTGTCAGAAACATGGCAGCACTTACTGATTTTAAACTAAGATCAACGACAAACTTTATAGGTACCACTCTCATGTAGAGTACAAAAACTAGTTTGTTCCAGCACCTTCGGCTGCAGTACCAGGAGTAAAAAGTACCCCATGAGTTATTCCAAACTGCACTCTATCTTTGTACCAAATTCATTTCGAATCCATTCAGCAGTTTTAAGTTGAAAAAGTAACATACATACTTACAAACATTTGCGTTTACAATATAAGTATGATTCTGAGTAATATGTAGTGAACGAACAATTGACAAAGTAAATCAATTGTATTAATTATTATTATTGAGACATAAAAAGGTTAGTATCGAGTAGTCATAGGATAATTACTCTCTGCTGTAATGTAATAAATTAAAGTCTGCTCGTAAAATCTTAATAAGACATTTATTTATTTATTTTATGTTCGTGCTTTCGACCTTAATATACGCGGCCTTGTCACTGACGGATTCATATTTTTTTTATCACGAACTAGTATCAAATACGCCAATAGCATTACAACCAAACAATAAATATTGGTAATCTCACACAATTTGGCTCATTAGGAATGGTTAATATTCGACTATTACAGGACAATACAAACTTGACAAACCAAAACCAACTTTAACAGACTAACAATAAAGTCGAAAAAAATACATGTATCATGACAAATGTCAATAAAAATTCAACCGTATTTTAAATAAATGAAGTTTATTTTTGTTTGTCAAGTTAATATGGGCCTTCACACATCAACCACACTTATTCGTTAAAATAACTATTCGCAAAGCCTAGTAGGCAGTGATCGGTATACGTCCTTCTTGGACCATAACTCGCTCGTCTTTTTATATAGTTTTAGTGGAATGTAGACAACCTATTAGGTCATAGAACTTCTCATGTAGAGTAACCATATTAGAACTATATTATCTGGTGTAACAATTAGACCAAGTAGAGTAACCATGGAGCTTCTAGTTCGCTCGCTCGTTCTTCTCCATAAGAATCTACACTTTGAAACGAGCAAATACGACCACAAACTTGAACTTATACATACATTTTTTAGACAATCTATAGTGTATGTGGTGGTCGATTTGAAATAAATGATTTGCCTGTTTACAGCTTCAATATAATATCGAATCGTTCGTTGCCTTTTTCTTTTATCTATGTGTAAGCTCAACATTATCTAATTTTTTTTTTTATGAAATTCTATCCTACGTCTTCTTTATCCGAATAAAATGGCATCGTATTTAAAACTCTATCAAAGTCTAATAGCTTGTCTACATTTCACCACAAAGTTTAAATACTTTGGCGGCCGCCAAAATCATTATTACGGATGCCGCCTAAGAACGCCAGCTTATAAGCGCCTTGTCCATTAGAAAATAAACTTTATTGTATCGTTGTTTTATAGAAGAGGTAGATTGTTTTGAAACGAAATCTTGATGAACAATGTCAAATCAAAAGTTGTGTTTTTAAAACTGCATATAATATATATATATATATCTTGTAAGAATGTCTTTTGATAGGCTGAACAAACATACACAAATCATCTCAGTTCCGATATGATAAAAGACTATTATTGCGTAATGCTGCGCTTGCGCATGTTAAGACAATTAACGTTAAGTATATTAAAAATATCAACTGTAGCTAATATTTAAAATGTATTTTCAGTGGATTCCGGACAAAGCGCTTAAGATATGATCGATTTGATATAAAATTATGGAATGTTATATTCCAAACTTTCATCTACTACCTATACTGTTGGCAGTTAATACTAATGGTAAACCGATTAGACAAACAATATCGATTAACTCGATATCGTTAAAAGCATCGACTAAAGTAGCGAAATCGATTACATTCGATGCTGTAAACAACCTTGTTATAAAATTAACAACTTTATAATACCATTCTTTTAAGCCATCGGCTCCGTACCTTAGATTGTTCATGTTCATAAAACATTATTAATACGTAATTACGAAAACTCGTTATTTGATCAATTCGTTCCGCGACTTTACAAAACAAACTCAACTTTCATTAACAAAGAAAAAAGAAATACCAAACTACAAGAGTTTCTTAGCCAAACATTCTCTTACAATCTGGTGAATAACAATACTCTATGTTGATCTACCCATTTGTACATATAACCAGGCTTACCTTACCAAACATAACGCATATAAAGACTCTTCATTTCTTCGCATATTGTAAGTACCTCGTGACGATAGTATTAAGGTCCTGTGGTAGTTTAGTCCGGTCGAGTTTAGTGGCGTAACTCGAGACGACTTGCGACAGTTGTGCGTGCAAGTCGAGTAGCGCTTCAAGGCCGATCGTCCGAAGTGACTTCGCGTTCTTATATACAACGTTATCTAACTCAGTCTTGTTTATCAGTACTTTCTCCGTTTCTGAAATTGGTAAAGAATTGGTTAATTGCGGACAATATTAAATAAAATGTCTTTGTTAATCAATTTTGGGCTTAATTTATATTGGTACTATGGTTTATTATAATTTGACTTTAAAACCAACCTGCACTCGTATTTTCGTGGCCTGAATTTCTCTTCTTTGGTGATGTCTTTGAGGGTGTCTTTTCTGTCGACTTCGTTGGACTGGAAAAATATAACATAAGTATAACTTTAGAGTCCTAATTGACTTAAAGTTAATTGCAAATATATTGAATTTAGGTAGATATGTACAAGATATGTTTCAAAAGGCACAACTTTGACCTCTGTAAACTGCTTACAGGTGTCATAATGTGTTATAATGTTATAATGATGACGTATTTTGCTGAGTGAGTTAGGTTACTGTATGCTCAATTTCCCCATTCCCAATACCACCAATACTAAAATACCTAATCCGTACTATGGCAACAACGCAACTGCAACGATACTGGTGCTGCGGGTGGCAGTGGCGGCGCCGATTGCTTACTATGATCTACTCAATCTGCTCGTTTGCCGACTTATCCTATAAAAAAACTCGAAGATAATTTCATACCAAGTCTTACCTCTCTAATACATGGTTATTAACGACAGTTTGTGCGGTAATATTGAATATAGTGTCATTGTCCTGCGGCCGGCGCAGCGGTGCGTCGTCATCGCTGCCGGACGACGTGCTCACTTCACCGTTGGGGAGCGGCGTCGATGTTATCGGCTTGTTCTCTTTTGATTCCTCGTCCGTTATCGCTATACTCGAGTCCTTGAAGTTCTGTGAGGAACAATGTTGGTTAAAAGCTTTTAGTCGTAAGTTCTAGGCACAAGGCACCAGGTGAAATTATTAAGATTACTCAACAATTTTACATACACAACACGACATGCAAAAATGTGTAAAATAAGATTTGAAGTGGGTTGATGCAGAATAAAACAGTTTTGCCAACAATTTTGCTGTCCCCACGAATATCATAAGGGCCAACCAAGGTACGACATATTTGAAACAAACCAGGCAAGATCGCTATCTGATAAAAATAATTAAAACTCCAATCTCCACCAGGACTACCAGGCGTGATATTATGACAATTCTATCTGATGAAGCTGATATCACAACAGTATAGCATCACAGACATGATATATGAGGTTTTAAAAAGCGTTTTTTATTGGTTCCTGCAATTTTCTTTGTGTTTAAAAACGTAAAATTTCACATATCTAGCCCAGACCTGAAATATCAATTTTTGGTTCACAGAAAGAGACGTTCCGTTTGGGAAACTAACCCGTGGGACGTTGTACGGCAGCTGTTTTCCCAAACTAAGTGCCATCTGTGCAGTCGTCATTTCAGTGTTATATACCTATTAATACATATCTTACCTTTGACGTCTTCTGTCGCTTCACAACGAGCCCCTTGGACCACGCGTTCATACGTCTGCGTTTGCGCTTTACTGAATGTGAATCGCTCTTGTCGCCATTCTGAGGCGTCCGCGATTTATCGCTCACTATTGAGTCGAAGTGATCTGTAATATCATTAAATTGTTATGATGCGACTAATTTTAGTCAATGCGTCGCTCAAATTACCTCAAAATATAATCAAAATGGGAAAACAGGACGGGTTCATCCACAGAAAGATCATAATAATACGGGGGTCGAGGCTTTTTAAATGCCAAGACCCTACACAACCTCGAGGTATGTAGTCTCAGGGAATATTTCCTTGCTGCCGACGTGGGTATGCATCGAGATGTAGTGGCAGTAGACAAGGGGCTCACCCCGCTCTCCCTGGCTAAAGAGAACTGGCGCAAACCGGTCGTACTTGACACCAACGCTCGCAGTGATGAGTGAAGTATGGCAGAGCAAGGAACTTCACGGACGCTTTTTCCGAGCCCTACACGGGCCGGATGTAGACCAGTTAGCGTCCGTAGCCTGGCTGCGTTTCGGTGACCTCTTTGGGGAAACTGAAGGGTTTGTCTGTGCAATTATGGACGAAGTTATCATGACGAATAACTACCGGAGATTTATTGTGAAGGACGGCACGGCTGACATCTGTCGGGCATGTCACCGTCCGGGAGAATCAATTCGTCACATAATCTCTGGTTGTTCTCGTCTAGCTAACGGCGAGTACTTGCATAGGCATAATCTTGTAGCCAGGATCATACATCAGCAACTTGCTCTGAAATACTCTCTTGTGGAATCGGAAGTGCCGTACTACAGGTATGAGCCCGACCCAGTTCTTGATAATGGTCATATCACTTTGTACTGGGACCGGTCTATCATCACTGACAGGACTACTGTGGCCAATAAGCCTGATATAGTGGTGGTGGACCGAAAGGAGAGGCGTGCAATGATTGTTGACATAGCCGTCCCACATGACGAGAACCTTGTGAAAGCCGAGAAAGATAAACTGATCAAGTATATCGACTTGGCACGCGAGGTTGTCGACATGTGGGAAGTGGATTCAGCTATCATTGTACCGATAGTCGTGTCAGCCAATGGCTTAATAGCCAAGAGCCTCGACCAACATCTTAGGAGGCTCTCGTTAGGTGGTTGGATTAAGGGCTTGATTCAGAAAGTGGTACTCCGGGACACGGCTCGTATTGTCAGGAGGTTCCTTTCTCTGGAGCCCTGACCGCCGGTAGCTAGGACCCTGTTCCCGATACCGGTGGGACACTATTTTTTATATTTTTAAATGTTTTTTTTCTTTTCTTTTCAATTTTGAAGAAATATTTAAAAATGTTAATTATATGTTTATATGTTGAATAAAGAACAAAATTTTATTATTAATTGGTATGCTTAAAATACATACAGAGAAGCTTAGTATGTAAAGATTGAATATGGCAATCTGCAGTGTCTGCATCTCTGTTTTATCATTTATATGCGTGCGTAAGTTGGACAGATCTACGTCTAGCATGATCATTGACGCCGCCCCTCAGTTTCAGATTCATCATCAATAAGGCCTCTTTTTCGCACGAATAAGATTTGAGCATTAACACGCTTCCCCAAGGCGGATTGCCAATTTCATGCTTGAAATTAAATATAAGTCCAGGTTTACTCACGGTGTTTTCGTTCACCGTATGTGAGTGTTGTTAAAATAATCATAGAAAGTGTTAGTAGCCAGGTTTAGAACCCCAAATGAGCAGATAATGATTGTACTTACGTAAATTAGAAGCTGTACAAATAAAGTCAGGTAGGTCGTTGTCCGCCATGCCTTCCTCGTGCCTTCTCTTCGCAATCTCCTGGCACTCCAATTCAAAGTCACTGTCCATTTCGACGTCGATAAGCGCGTGCGCATGGTCGCGCAACGAGCACGCTTCGTGACGTATCTGTTTGTCCGATGATGTTCTGTGTATCAAAGAATAATGATCATTGATTTTGTGTTGTTGTTGATTCTGAATGTAGCTTGAGTACAGTTTATGAGTTTTATTAAGTTTTAAGTAAAGCATATTAGGCGTTGATTGTAAGTTTTAGATTTCATTCTTTTAATTTCATTATTGTTATAGCAAGCAATTTATTTCTATTACATTTTCTTGTTACGTCTAAATTTAATCCGACACAATCTGAGAAATCAGAAGAATTTCACTACTATCCATTGATAGTAGTAACGGGCCATTGCCCGTAACAGTTCCTCAAACTTATTATGTGTTCAGATAGCTACTATAAGAGTACAAAAACATTAACCATAAACCTAGTGAACTTTACCCCCATGCTAAAACGCACGACTCACATAATCGTAGTAAATATTTTATAGTATGAACTATTATATATAGTTCTTTCAAGATAATTTTCCAAACATGCGAATGTAATACATCGCACGATATTAGTCCCAGCCTGGAGTAAATAAATACTTTTTTTTTGACATCCGAATTTATTAATCGATCTCAAACCTATATTATCGGACTATAGACTATAAATCTACTGAATATCAGTAAAACGTAAGATCAAAATTTTAAACATTAAATATCTCCATAAAATTAGTTTCATTAGGGCTGATTTTTGAATGGTTAGATAAAAATTACCTGGGGAATAATCATGATGCTGTCGCGTCAAAATGTTTGTATAAGACAGTGACAGCAACAATTTTATTCCTTAGATAACATTTATCTGTATATTGAAAAATCAGCCCTTAGTCGATAATATCTAGAACTAAATATTATATCAAAGCTTATAAATACTTATCTCTACCTATATATTATAGTTATGTTAGTAAATATCTATGCTACTTACATGCTATTTTATCTATTCTACATGCATTTCGTCCGAAATAAACGTTAGGTTCTGTATACACGGAAGTCTTCAATCATTTAGAGCTGTGAAGTTATCGATAAAAGAATTAATATCGATGAATTTGAAAATATTATTTTAAGTGATCGATATTGTCACTATTTAATATTGAATTTGGAACTGATAATTTTAATTCAAAAACTAAGTTATAAGAAAAATTCCGTGTTTACTTTTTAAATATAGTTACTTATATTGACTTATATTCTAATTATGAGCCATAAATTTATAGGTAATATATGATATTAGTTCTATGTTATATGCTAATATTAGTGTTACATTATTATCATTAACAAAGCGGTGGTTTGGTCATACCTATACATCCCTCTAGCACTTTGATTGGCGCCGGGGGAATGTGAAAAGAAAACACGTTCAAATAAATTATAAAATAAAGGCAGTTCACATAATGGCTTAGAAATCGAACCCAATCGACACCAGCAGCCAGTTGCCCAGCAACCGCGCCAACAGTGCAGTCAAGCACTTTACTAACCCCATTTTTACAATAATCATATTATTAGCCTGTATATTTTTTTCCCCAATCTAACTAAATTTAAAACATGTCACATCACTATTTTAGTTCAAAATTAAAACCATTATGTAAATGCCGAAGGTAAGTGGAATGGTCGTGTTATATGGGGGGTAAATTAAATGACTGTGAATAATAAATCAATAAATCAAAGAGAACGTTTTTTTTATTTGGTAACGGATTCGAGTGCCTAGTGCGAGCTTCCTTCGAGTATAAATATGACCGCGTCTTCTGATTGGTCGATTCACTGGGAACGGGCCAATCAGAGCACAGAACGGCATATAGGTATTTCAATCGTGTTCACGTGAAGCAAACTCTCGCTAGGCACTCTGATGTCGTATTAAATTACCTATTGTACTAGGTATTGCCCGCGGTTTTTGCTCGCGTATTGAAAAAAAATGTATATCAATCTCCAACATCTTAACACAAGAATCTCTAGATATAAAAATGCTCCGTGGCAACGTGAAAGGAAAACAAACACACATACTTTCGCATTTATATTATAATGATACAAAATTATACATAGTAAGAATAAATTCATAAGGAGACGAAACGTATCGCAAATGCATATGTAGAAGAGATAATAGAGAAGTTATTGCAACATACTCACATTAATAAATGCATTAGGTAAACAAATTTAGACTCTATTTGCATTCGCATACAATCAACACCGGAGAACTGAATACTGTTTCAAATAAATCTAAGTGTTATGCAATGGTTATTAAGTAGATTTTAAAATAAATTAGCGTCAAATTGTATGCGGGAATTAAGAGATTACTAAACAGTTTGTCTCCTAAAATGAACTTGTCTATCGCCTGTTTTAGTAACTTATTTATCTGTAGATTAGTTGACTAAAGAAAGAAGTAGGAACATGACAACTCAACAAAATTCAGTATATTTTCGATGCGTCAAAAAGGACAGTTGTCTAAGAATTTTGTACGATAAGGATTTTATGTCGAAGCGCACCTATTTCTTGGAAATTAGGTACATGAATACGAATAATATGTATTATAGTAAAGTAATTTAAAGACATTTTGTTTGACGGAGTTAATTAAGCTCAAAATATCTTAAGAAATGAATCTACAAATAAACAGATTACTGAAAATCATTAAAAAAATAACACAAGTCGTATCAACTTTCTAAATAAAAATGGCGTCAGAAATATCTTACCGGTCCGGGTTATACTCGAGTGCGTTTGCGCATATAAGGTCGATGTCGTCCAGAAACTCTTTGGCGCAGTTGTACTTGTGCATATCCACTTTGGTCATCATCGTTTCCAAGTCCATCGGCTGCTTTATTATGTCTAGGTAGTCGGTTACCTGAAAAACGTAAAAAGTATTTAATTTTTTTTTTACTTGCTATAAACTAGTGCTTGACTGCGGTACCACCTGATGGTAGCAGTGATGCAATCGTTGATGGTAAGGCGCACTAGATTATTAATGCCCGGTTCCTATATTTAACGAATCGTCGTTGTACACGCAATACGACCAAATGACATTACGAATGGTTATCTTGACCGTCTACTGATGGTTAAAATATTTATAGGAACACACAGACACCATAGATCTCCATACAATTCGCTTACCGATATCCGTTAGTTGCAAACCGTCAGTAAGTTGCACGACGAGACGTTTATTATAGGAACGGATTTAGCTTACGAGTCGTATATAAAACTACTATTCGTAATTAAAACGGATCGTTTCTCAATTATAGGAACCGGGCGTAAGAGTTTCTAAGACACTCTAGCCTTGAAGACACCTAAATTATATTTGGACGGAAAGACTGCAGCCGGCAAACTGATCCAATCCCTCGATGTACGCGGTATAAATGACGAGGCAAAACGCTTAGTCCGGGCCGCAGGTGTCTCAACAACGTAAGGGTGGACATTCGCCGTACGCCGGGATGTCCGAAGGTGAAATGGGGATGGCGGAATCAAATCGTGCAATTCCTGGGCACCCTCTCCAAAATGCATCCTGTAGAAAACCGCAAGGCTGGCTACTCTGCGCCTGTGCTCGAGACTTTGAAGATTGGACCCAACCAAATCTGGATCTCCAATCAGCCTCTTTGCACGCCTTTCCACTGAATCCAAAGCCGCTAGGTGGCATTTTGCAGCACCAGCCTAAATGTGGCTGCAGTACTCCACACACGATCGGACCTATGCTTTGTACAACATTAGAAGCTGACTCGGTGTGAAGTACCGTCGGACATTTGCAAGAACACCTAGTTTTCTAGCAGCCACCCCGGCCTTGGACTCAATGAACCGCCGAAAGTTGAGGTCGGAAGCAATGTCCATTCCCAAGAGCTGAAGGCGGTCGGTGAATTCCAAGTATACATCCCGAAAAACAGGAGCCAAGGTGAACGAGCTCCTTTTGGCAGTGAATAGACACGCCTGTGTTTTGGTGGCGTTGAATGCTACCAGATTAACTCTGCCCCACTTGGAAACTGTCTGAAGTGAGACATTCGTACGCTCTACCATAGCCTCCCTTTCAGACTGGATTAGCTCCTTACTAGCCCGAGCACTGGGCAGGTATCTCTCTACAACTGTGCTATCATCTGCATACCCAAAGATACCAGGCACTAGCAGATCGTTAATGTGGAGCAGGAATTGAGTTGCAGAGAGAACAGACCCCTGAGGAACACCGGCATTAGTCGACATAGGCTCTGATGAGCATCCATCGACAACAACTCGGAGTGACCGTTCACTTAGGAAGTCTTTTACCCAGTTTATCAGACCAGGAGAAATGCCGTACTCTGGAAGCTTAGACAAAAGGCCATCGTGCCATACCCTATCGAAGGCCTTCGAGATGTCTAAGGAAACGGCAATAGCTTCCCCATTCCTCTCGAGGGCCTCGCCCCACAAGTGAGTGGCATAAACTAGTAGGTCCCCGGTAGACCGATTGCGGCGAAATCCATACTTTCGGTCGCTGAGGAGATCGTTACCTTCTAGATATGCCATGAGGCGCGAATTCAACACGCGCTCCATAATCTTGCAGAGTATGGAGGTTATCGAAATCGGCCGATAGTTGGCAGGATCGATACGACTGCCCATTTTGGGCACGGGTTGCACGTTGGCGAGCTTCCTGGACTTTGGCACAATACCAGTCCCTAATGAGAGGCGATACAGGCGCGTCAATACAGGAGACAACACGGGTGCACAAGCCTTGAGAACTATCGCTGGTATACCATCCGGGCCACTAGCTTTATTCACGTCTAGACGACTCAGAACTTCTTTGTTCCTTAAGCGAACTTAGGGCATCGAGGTGCCTATAAAATTCATAAAAATAAAATTCATGCTCAAAAATTTCAAAATTTAGTAGGGTATGGGGGATGAAAACGATCTTTAAATATCAATTCGTCAAATCCCTAAAGGCCAGAATCTCCTCTTGTATTGGGGGTGTCCATGAGCTACTGATTGCTTACCATCAGGTAACGAGTCTGCTATGTTCTGCCCTATCACATAAAAATACCATTTGCTTGCTCTGTGAAGCTTTTGTCAAAGGGTCAACGTTTTTTAAACTTAAAGTAGGTATGTATCAAAATTTTAGAAATAACAAAATAAAATTAAATTGTACATCAGAACATCACATACTTCTTTCAAGTATTAGTTTGAGTAATACCTTTAGATATAATAGATTTTGAAATGTGACGTCACAAAACTTAGGACCCCACCCACCCATTATCACCCCATGTCACACTTTGTCGACCCGCCCTCCCCCCACCCCCAAATTAATTAGGTAAGGGAACAAATAGTTACCTCCTCCAAATCCACAGGTTTAGTGAACTTGTAGAACCGCCTGTTGGACGCTAGTTTCCTGCAGATGTCTCGCAAGAATATCCTGAGCTCGCGGAGTTTGTAGTCCTCCTTGCGCTTGCGCCGCGTCATCTCCTCCGCTGACTCGCGAGGTGGTGGCGGTGGAGGGGCTGAATGAACATTCCATTTTTAAATAACTCAAATATTTTGTCGAATTTTATATCGGATTTGATCCAAATATAACAAAACATGTATATTATATTACTTAGTAGTAGTTAGGTAGGTAGAGGTAAGGTGAAGTGATATTAAAATAAAAATAATAATATTAAGATAAAAAAAGCGGTATTAAAATTTTCATACGATTGATTTTCTCTTCTTGAACCAGATTATATCTTTGTCATAAGTGAATAAGGAGATAAACAAAGTTCAGTAGAGAGAAATATTCATACAAAAAAAATATGACCAAATGAAATCAGATGAATTTTCACACTTACCTCTAGGTAAAGGAGGAGGTGGCTCGTTGCTCTCAATAGGCGGCGGGTCTAGTAACGCATCAGCAAGTATTGGCTTCAAGAAGTTAATTACTTCAGCTGCACTAGGTTCACGCACCCTGTATACGCAGTCCTTGTACACCGGGAACAGCTCTTGTACCTAGAATGGATAATAAGAATATAGTTTACTAACTACTATCACCCGGTTTCACCCGCTGCTGTGCTCCTACAGATCGTAGCGTGATGTTTTATAGCCTATAGCCTTCCTCGATAAATGGACTGACAAAGAAAAAAAAGAATTGTACAAAATCAAATTTATCATATAAGTATAGATGACAAGTACTTTATTTAAATTTTAAAAAATAAACTTCTACGAATTTGGCATGGAAAACAGGCTTGTGACGTCATCATATTTTTGTGTCTAATAGCATACTTTTTTCTTAAAATATGTAAGTTACAAATCTAATATTAGGTAATTATATTGTCAAAAAGAACCATGAAATACAATTATTTTTGAATATTAATTAATTCAACAAGATTTCAATCTTGACGGAATTTACTTTTGATTGTCAAAAATGCCGAATTGCGCCTCAAAGTTCCAATATACCACTAAGAGTGAGGCTCAATAGCAGGTGCAGGTGCAAGCAAAATAATGTTCCATGGCCCTGACCCGAAACAGGAGAAAGAACGAGGGAGTTTTTCAGTAAGAGATGACTTATCCTCCCCCTCACCCCTTCCCCATATCCAGGCCTAATAAAAAAAAGTTTATGGGAGTGGGAAAGCCTAATTCGGCACGAATGGGTCGGCTCGACCGAAGTGATAACACGGCCTTACAGAGAATTGGCGTGAAACAAACACAGCGTTGTGTCGTCGTGCGAGTGAGGTTACCGGAGGCAAAATCCTTCCCCTCACCCCGTTCCTTCCTTATCCAAATCCTCCTCTAGTGTTTCGGGTGTAAATGGGCGGCGCAGATTGTTTAGCAGAAGGTGACAGGTAAGATGGTTTGCCGAGCTGTTACTTCAAAAAAAAGTGTGTAGTGTTACCTCGTGCGGCAGTTGGTGGTGCGGCTGGAGCGCGGTGGCGAGCAGTAGCGTGCGGGCCCCGGCGGCGCGCGCGCGGCACTGCTGGCGGAGCAGCGCGCCCAGCCCCGCGCACCACACGCTCGCCACGTCGCGGACCAACAGCACGCAGCCACGGTCCGCGCGCCGACACTCCGAGAATACCTACAAAATTATCTTTCCTTAATACAAATGTAGCGACATCTACCGCTCAACACGCAGCCACAACACCAATTACGTTCAAGATTCTACATCGCGGTGTTACACAGTACTTCTAAACAGGCCCAATCCTTTCCCTCCCCCAATCCCTCCCCAATGCTGTCCATGTACCATAACCTGAACTAAATCAGGAGAAGAAACGGATGTTTTTTTTTCGTGAGGAGATGATCATCTTCTTTCACTTCCAGACATATGGCTTCTGGCCTCATGTTGTGTGGGATAAATCATTGGATGATTGCTCCCTCTCAAATGGGTTGGATATGAGCTTGACTTAGCTCAAAGAGCCATTCCTTGAGCAAACTTGTCACATGGTTACCAACTTCTCCTAGCAATATGATTCTTATTCAAAGACGAGAGAGCCATACACATAATGGCCTACTCAACTATCAAGAACACTTCAACAAGAAATTATTTATAAGAACATTTTTCACCTCTTATTACCGAGCTTCGTTAGCGTACAAAAATGATCTTTATACTCACCGATATTACAGCTTGTTCCTGCGTGAAGGTGAGAGCGGAGTGTAAGGTAGACATGCTGAGTTCCTTCACAGTGCAGTGTTCTAGTTCCGCCAGTAGTGCGGGCGCTATGTGAGTCTCTGCGCACTCGCCCGTTATTAGGAACACGCTTTGTGATAAGGTGGATTCACTTATCCTGCAGGAAATAATAAAAGTTTAGGTTTTTATTTTATAATTTGAGGTAACCCTGATTTTTATGTCATTCGATTTGGAATTCCTAACTTATGACGAGTAAGTTATACAATATAATACATCTGTATATTTTTATGAATTTTGATGTCTTTCGGAAATTAATGTCAATTGTAGAGTTCTAATGGTAAAGTATATTGGCCAATAGCTTATTAATACCTATAAATCCCTTCTCAAAAATAAGACTGCAGGCAAAATTTACCGTATAAATATAAAATGTTTCACATACAAGCTAATAAGAAATCTATGAAAACTGACATACATACAATTGTATATGGAACAATATGACTAGTCCCAAAGACAAGATATCGTTTCGAAAAGTGCTTGAATAAAGATACAAGCGTCGAATTGCTATGAACAGTGATGGCAATAAAAATGCTTACGATTGAACATTATCGGTATTTGTGGCGAGTGGGAAGCACTGGTGCAGCAGGGCGCGGGCGGCGAGCAGCTGTGGCTGCAGCAGGGGCAGGGCGCGGGGCGGCAGGCGGCGCGCCGCCACCGGCCCGCTGCGCGCGCCCGCCGCCACCAGCGACTCCATGCCCGACACCAGGTCCGCGCGGGTCACCTCCACCTTGTACATAATAACCATTATTTCTGTACACAACGTGATAAAAAACTTTTGTTCTGTATTAGTATTAGTCTTTGGCGACATAAAAGCGAACAAAACCATAAAACATTCTCACCGATAATGTTCCCTATGTATTTGTGCAACAATGCTTAATATGCTGCAATGACCATATCAGATTTATTTATTTGAATTTCCAACAAGAAAAACAAGAAAGAATATCAACAGCAGAATATAAAATATCCTATGCTTTCTTATTACAGGAAATCACATCTTGCATAATGCCAGATGGATATGAGGCTTCAAAGTACTGAACAACAATTTTGCAATATGTAGCAATGATGCGTGAGTTTTTCAAGTTTAATTAAACAATATTTTTATCATACTCACGTTCTTAGCATCAATAACTAGGGCATGTTCACTCTCGTACACTTGCGGGTACACTCGACGCAACGCTTTTAATACTGCCTCCGAACATAACGCCTTTAGGTCCGACCCTGGAAACAAATAATAAAACTTAATATGTAACAATAGATTATAAACGATTTTCCATTAAATAACTTACTGTAGAGTGGTCACAATCACTACTAAGCCTCGGGGACGACGAAAAGCACATTTGCCACAAGTTAAATTTACGATTTCGAAAACCCATCATCAATTAGGTAATAGTGAAATTACATACTTCGAAATTGGACACCCTGTGTATATAAAACATTGGTGACAAAAAGTAAGTTCTTCAATTAAAGAGTATGTTTACTAAGTTAGATAAAAAAAAACTTACCTCCATATCCACCAGTGATTTCAGCTAGATAATCCAAAGTCTCGTCACTAGGTTTGGGCGTCCAGTCCTTGGTATATATTTCTAGTATATCCCTTCTAGCGGCGGCGTGTGGCGGTGGGAAGTGAAGCTCTCGGTCAAACCGACCCGCGCGACGTAATGCAGGGTCTACCGCGTCTAACCGATTCGTCGCGCCAATTATTACTACTTCTCCCCTGGAAATAAGATTGAAATCTGAATGGCAGGTTGGTGTAATAAACCGAAGTTATACAAATACCAAGCGATTTTAAAATGCATACAAACTTTCATAAATTTCATTTTACAACAAAACATACCTGTCACATAACCCATCCATCTCAGCCAGTAACGTGCCCACTACGCTGGTGTGTACTTGTTCTTGTCGGACGCTACGGACCGGCGCCAGCGCATCGATCTCGTCAAAGAATATTATTGACGGTTTCATTTTGTTCGCCTGTGTAAAAGAAAAGAATCTTTAGATTGCAATTAAGAAACTAAATCACTAAACTGATGCTACTAGGTAAGTAAAGTAATTGTTAATAATTCGTTGGTAAGATAAAAACAGTTCATAATTACCCATATATATGACATATTGCAATGACGTAACACAAAGAACTGAAACATCACATCAGAAGCGTAACATTATAATCCCCACAGCATAATGAAACAAAAAATTTTAATCACCTGTTGAAAAAGCAGTTTGAGGTGCCGTTCACTCTCTCCGACCCATTTCTTCAAACAATCAGCTCCTTTTCTCATGAAAAATGCTACTTTTCTTCCTCCAACTAGCGTGCACTCGTTGGCTAGAGCTCTTGCTAGTAACGTTTTACCAGTACCAGGCGGACCGTGGAACAATACTCCTTTGGCGGGTCGCGTCTTGAACTTTTGAAAGAGTTCAGGGTACATAAGCGGGAACAGTACCATTTCTCGGAGACATTTAATGTGCTCTTCTAGACCTCCAACCTGAAAACGTGTTGTGATTAATATTATGAAGTTACAAATAACCTTTCGAGAAATAATTTATAGGAAAAGCTTTAGACTAAAGAATTAAGATGAGTGTAGCTAACCCATGCATCGGCACGAATGGGACCGGATCGACCGGTATACCACAGCCTTACAGAACATTGGCATGAAGCAAAGCTTAAAACGTATATTTCGTCGTGTGACTAAGGTTACCAGAGTCCCAAATTCTCCCCAATAAGGGGGCCTAGCCCTAAAAGGCCTAAAAGGCACTTAAAACTCCCCGGTGTTCAGGGTGTCCATGTTCAGAGCAAATTATTTACCATCAGGTAATCCAATCCACCTGCTTTTTTACCTATCTATGTCGTGATGTGATAATATGGGGAAAGTGACTTACAGAAGTAAATCTGACACTGCCATCAACTTCAACTGGTTGTATGTCTCTCAGCGCTCTGTCTGTTTTCTTATCATCCGTTGACTTAGACTTTTGTCTGGAAAATAAACTGTATTCTTACATTCAAATAACGTCTGTAAAAAGGAAATAAATGTTTATTCAAACTCAGTAATTCCGCGTAGTATAAGCATCTTTGTGTGGTGTTAATAAAGCAATTGGTTTAAAACTTAGTTACTTTGTAATACAGTCGAAAATCTGTTAATGTGTTAACTAAAATTCGCGGGTTACTCACGTGTAAATGTTGAGAAAAGCTCTACTAGTTTCGAACCACAGAGGGGTTCTTCCTCATGAGCAGCGTGCGCGAACCCGCGAATTTTAGTTAATTTAGTATGTCTCACGATAGTTATTATAAAAACATGTTAATGTGTTGTTTGTAATATTAACTATTTCTGTTTTCGTAAAAATTATCTATAGTCAATACATATAAATAAAATTGGAGTGTCTGTTTTACGTGCATTTAGTATGCATGCATGTAGTAGTTTTGTTTGTCTGTCTGTTTGTTTCAGCTAATCTTTGGAATGGCTGAGACGATTTTGACTGGAATTTTATTGATAGGTAGCTGATTTAATAAACAGCTATTTAGGTTACTCTAATTTTATTTATTTTTGTCTCGAAAGAAAAAAGTGTTCTAGCACGATAACGATAATCTAATTTTACGCGGACGTATGAGAATAGAAAAAAGTTTATTTGATAATAAAAAGTTAATATTAAGATACTATACAGAATGCTACTAGATAGTATATCAGTAAAAAAATAATTTCAAAGGAACTCACCTGCCCTTAGTTTTATTTTTCATAGAAACATTAAGATCCTCTTCCGTATCCGAACTAGATGTACTACTGCTACTGGTCGTACTGGACGGCGATTGTGCTGCGAAAGAAAGATAAGTAAAATAAAGAGTTACGGAAAAATAAACTTTGCAACTAAAGGAATAAAACTCACATCTGATTGTTTTTCTACGCAATATTTTTGGTTTCCTCTCTCTAAGGCAGTATGGCTTCTTTCTTATTGTGAATGTTTTTGCTGAAACAAATAAATAATATTTATTAGACAAAAATGAAACGTGTGAACAAAGAAGAAGAAACTTATTACTACAATGTTAGACATCAAACCACTTTATAGTATCACCTAAAGAATTGTTCCGTGCGGGAATCGAATCCTCTACATGTTGCAGGCTAGCCAGTTGCGCCAATTGTGAAGTCAAATGTCCTTAAACTTGTTACAGTATCGTGAATACTAATGGCTTAATCACGCAACTTTTAACACATTCAGTGCCACCGACTCGCCCAGAGAGTCCACGTAAATTTTATTCCGGCGCCGTGGACTCGCCCGGCGAGTTCAACGTAAGGCCGCTATCCTACAAGACTTTTTACTAGTGTTGACGTCAACGTTGTGTTTACGCGACGTTAACGCAGCGACAGGCATTAAGTAGGCGGCATCAGACATATCATTGTGAAAATCGTAGCGGTAATGAAAGTGTTAACGAAGTAACTAGATTGGTTTCGAATCAAACTGGGGCTCATAGTCATGAGTGTCAAGTGATAAATGACGCTGTAAGCGAAGTTAGCTCTTATAAACATTACGTGTGTAAGTCGTAAAAAACAATAAAGAGTTTTATTAACAGTTAAGTTTATGCGTTATGAAACTCGACTATATTGACTTAAAGAATAAGAACTTGTATTGTAAGTTTTAACAGATACAAGATGAAATATCGAATACCTCTGGACCGCGTCTCGTCCTGCGCTATCTGCATGAAGGCGGGTTTAGGCTTGCGCGTGCGCTTCGAACGCCGCGGTTGCCGGCTTAGTGTCAACTCGCTGCCAGATTCCGAGGATGATGACTCTGTAAAATAATATTACTATAAAATGATGATAGGTACTTTTAAATTGTTTTAAAAAGTTACATGATTATACAGAACCCATATGATAGTTAACTTTATAGTTTGGTATTAAAGTTGAAAATCTTTTTACCTTAGAGTGTTTTGGATAAGTTTGAGAATTACCACAGCCGTGTTGACGTTAATATAATAATGGAAATTGAATCAGTATTAATTGTTGAATTATTTTGTAACTGTATTTGTAAGCGAGTCAAATGGTGATGTTTTGTAGCCTTCGTCAATAAATTTACTATTTAATACGATATATGTTTCCATTCCATTGAAACCAGTAGTTCCTAAGATAAACGATTACAAACTTACACATAAACACGTCATTTAATTAGTAGATACTAACCTGTTTCCTGTTGACTATCAACTTTCTTAGTTCTACTTCGGACGGGCCTTCTTCTACTACTTCTCGTTGGAGCTTGGTTACTAGTAATAAAAAAATATATTACTAAAAAGAAATAATACTAATAACATCAATAGCTGATTGTTGTAGAGTTTATTAACCAACAAATTATAATATGTTTTTAGCTTGTATTATTTTAACACAAGCTAATGTTATGCTTTTCAGCCATCAATTACCTAAGGCCTGGTCAGGCCATATAAACACTGGGGTCTGAGACGGGAGTTTCTGTTTCAAGTCAACATATAAGAGACATCACAGGTACTATCCATATCTTACTGGATATTCTAAGAGATAACTCTCTAGCTGTAAGGCGGTTAACGGTCAGGCGCAGATTACCACGACAAAAAAATAGCGGAATTTTCTTTACTTACTCACCATAATTTTGTGTGGGTATAAATTTTTATAAATAAACACGTAACTTTGTGTTAAGTGAAGAGTATTAAGGAGATGAATATATTTAAAAACGTGCAATATTAATTGCACGTTTTTAAATATAGCTAATTCCGTTTGTATAACAAATGAATCAATTGCTGCCATTGGTAAATAATTAAATAAACCTGCCTGTTCTTTTTTCCACTAACCTTTCACTATCCTGACCCTGTTCAGGTTCCTTCTCCTGCTTTACTTCTTTATCATCTTCTTTATCTGCAGGTGTTACTTCTGTGTCCATGTTCTCGTCTTCTTTCTTAGTTTCCGTTGGTGGTTTCTTCTCAATAACTGTTTGATTGTTTTCCTCCTCTGAATCTGATTCCGTCGCATCCTGTTTTATGATAGAAATAAAATAAATTATTTATTAAGTTATCATTCGATTTTTAACTATGACGGACATAATTATGTACATTTTGAATGCCACATTCAAATGTCTTTGGATTTTGTATTTTGTGTATCATATACGACGACACACTGTAGGACATTCATAGGATCAAAGTAAAGCAATCACAAAAGTATGTCACAGCCAGCTTAATTAACTTGACTATCCCTTTGATTGTATGACTGAATTTCTCATTTAGTCCATTAGTTAAAAAGAAGAAAGCTTTGAGTTGATGCCAGAATGGTAAGGTTGGCACTTAGGCCCACATGAGAATCGAATTGCCATTCAACATAAACAGCTGAGAGAATTTTACTATAATATTATTTACGAACAACTAAATTAAATGGCTTATTAATCTAGTTGTCAGCGACATGTACATTATTATGTGCCAACACAAAATGTGTTATTATATTTTGTCCAACTCAAGTCCAAATTAATGCATGCTTAGACATTGCAAATAAAATACTTACAATAATCTTTTTGTTGTTAAATCTAGCAGAAGTTCTTCTCTGCCGCGACAGCTGGGTATCTTCATCAGTGTTTGTTGGAGGATGGCTGCGTGTCTGTTAAAATAAAATGGTCAGTATATTATTAACATTAATAGGTTAGGTACACTAATGCAATGTGCAAATTACGACTTGTCAGTCAACAAACATTTAAGCTCTTTTTAAAAGACAATTATTAATTAATTGACAAGCAAGCAATAAATATTTAGATTTTCCTAAATATAGTAGTTTGGAATTTTACTTATTGGAATTCCAAATTAAGAATGTTGTCAATCGTTGGATATATTTAGCGAAATGCACAAAACGGGTATTTATACGATTGTTGAAATAATCACAATACTTTATAATGTGGTGCACAATGTACTTACATGTTTCTTGGAGGCAACTCTGGCCTCGTCAGCCGAAGAGAATTCGACTGAAGAACTAGAACCGGGGAAACCGTAAAGATCTGGGTAACCCTTCACTTTCAGCTCGTTGGTGATCCAGCTCTCGTTGAAGTTGTGATGTAGGAGCTTGCGCTTACGACAGCTTCTCCGGACATCTATAACAAATAGTAGATAATTAATATGTTATTCAAATGTAATCTATATAATATTTGTAAGTTTGTATGTAGGGGGTAATCTTTGGAACCGCTGGTCGGGTTGGCAAAATTCTTTCACTGGTAAAAAGCTACAATGTTCCTAGGTGCTATAGGCTATAAAACTTCACGCTATGACTAAATAGAGCCGAGCAGCGGGTGAAACCGCGCGAGAGTAGCTAGTGTATCATATAGATAGAATTTACATGATTTAAGTGGTGTTACTACTATATTTGCCAGGCATATATTGCATAACATCACTAAGAATAATTAGTAGAGAGATTCATAAATAAAAAATGGCCCTCATAATTTCAATGGACTAATTGTTTTTTTGAAGTCATGCATGCCTAGATTAGTATATAGAATACTCACTTTCTTGAATGGGTTTATCCTCACTGTCCTCCATATAGTTTTTCCTAGGAGCACGACTGCGACGGATCTTCACGCTTCTGTTGGTGGAATCATTGTCATCAGCGAAGAAAACTCGCACTTGTCTAGATCTGAGGGAAAATCAGCATCATGTAAACTCAAGTTAGTTCAGCATGATCACAATTCTAAGTTCAAAAACATTTCATTGTTTTGGTATGTTCAAAGTTCAAACTCATTGAAACCACAATTATATATCCCGAATACAGCGATAATATAGCGGTCACCGATAAAAAATTACAAGAGATTTTACAATCAAATATCCATATTAATAATAACGTGTATATAAAACTGGGTGTCTACACTACACTTTCATAAACTAGCCTAAAAAAATTGTTTTATAACAAAATGTTTGGGGTTTTTTAAGCCATGACTAAATAAAGTTGCGAACATACCAGTAGAAAGAAAGTAACAAAGTTAATATTGCACATGACCTACCTCCTTGAGTATTTCTCTGGTTCTGTATCACTTTCGGGGAACATGATCCGAGGCATTTTAATTGTTCGAAGACGTCTGCTATCTGTAAAATGATCAGCTTTTAGAACATCGAAACACAGCCTAAATATTATGAATCACTTTTCTCTTTTCTATATTGATGTATTTGATGATGCATTGTATGACTCTTTTCTCTTAAAGGAATTTAACATAACAATGAAGAAATATGATCTAAAAAAAATATAGTAAGGAAACAAACACATAAGAATCTACAATCTTAAAAGGCAAATAGAAATTACAAAGGTCAGTGCTAAAACCAAAATTGTAATACCATTAGTAAAAAATCATTTCATTTCTTCATTTTAACTTTGCTTTTTAATTAGGCACTTTCAACATAGGACTTTTTTAACATTGTAACAACAGTTTTATCTAGTTGCACTCACTGTCATCACATACTGTGCAACACAAGAACAAAATCACTAAATCATAGAATAAGGAGTGAAGGAATGCTGTACAGAAATGCACTTATCAATTAAATATACATTGACAATCATAATAAACAAATATATCATTAACATATAGACAGAAAACCAGTTGTTCTTCTAATTATTATTTAATAATAATACTCACATTTATTAGGCCAGTGTTGTATCTTTCTGGTCACCTTATATTGACTACTCCTTAACTCTCGCGGTGTCCAGTTTGAGGTCTTAGGAGTCTAAAATTATAATGCATCATTATTATAATTTAACAAACTATTTATAGTGAAAAGTTGTAGAAAAATGCCATGTACAATTGAGATGTTAATCATATGGCTCCCTAGTGGCAAATGCTGTCTATCCACATCCTACAGGTCATATTAAACAGGTCACAGGAAATAGGGAGAATTTTAGCCAGGCACAGGTACAAAACATTGTTGTTTATATCTATTGAAGTGTCTAGTAACAAATGATTATAAAATACAACAGTTTTGAAACCTACAGATATTTTCTTTAAGGTTTAATTTATTTTTCTTATTATTTTTCTGGCTGGTTACGCTAAGACAAAATACAATATTCTCTTCATGGTATTTCATTAAAAACTTTGAATAACTAATCATATTTAAATATTTTGTATAAAAAGGACATTGCAAAGATTAATAAATAGGTAAATATGTATCTACTGAGTTAAATATGAAAAAATAATCCAACATAAAAAATAAAATTAAAAAATATATTTTTTAAATAAAATATTCTAACCACATACACCCCATGCGGGAAACACATTATAACAATGGTTATTCTTATCCTATTGTCCCAAAATTAATTCTAAGATTACCACATATTGAGGAAACTTAGTACATAATATATTGAGTAGATAAGTGACAAGCTGAAGTATATTGGGTGTAGTGTATAGCCAATAAGTGTTGCAGGGAGGTAACTAAGCTAAGCCAACTAATTGTATCTCTAGAAATCTGAAGATCTTTTTCACAATAACAATATCAATAAATTGAACACTTGTTTACATAATCACAAGCATATGTATTGTTTTGCAAATTATTGCTTTAAATATTTGTGCCAAACAGATGAGAAACTTATCATTTGAATAGGGCTCAAGTAACTGTCTCCATAAATAATCTGAGAGGTTTGTTTTTAGTCTATAGGGATTGAATTATGATAAAACAAGATCAACAAGCCACGAAATTCCTGGCTAAGGATTATGAACCTCCTTTCCAAAAGAGAATTTCCCATTTAAGTGCTTGGTGAGGTTGAAGATTGAAGTTTGTATGGGTCAGGTTTATAGGAGAGCACATCCTCTATATGCCTCGATCAGCTCAGGCTTTATGGCATTCACAGATGATTTGGGTCTTAAGCTACTTACAAAATGTGTTAAAGTTCTGTAAAATCTGTTATGACATTACTATCATAGTGTTTGTGGTTTTAAAAAGAAGACAGGCACCATTTGTCAGTTTTCAATATAGGAATTTTTGTTTTTTGACATCAATCTAAATTTAGCTGGAAGTTACTTTAATAAAAGTAAATACTACAAATTGAATAAAACATGTGTTACATTGGATTGATCTTGAATTGTGCATTTTTCTTCATAGATAAGAAATAGGAAATTATTAACCTCTCGTCTGCCGGTATATGAGACAATAGAAAAAACATTGTGTCCTGCTTATATACGTTCCGGCATACCACGGGTTAAAAAACATATTGTTTATTTGTACCATTGATTATTATCACCAATAATACATTATATGTGTTTGATAAAACACTTAAACTAATATGTTCAAGCTGTTTATTTTGACCTAATATTGCCCATTCACTTTAATTTACTTCTCAAGCCTCTTTGCATGAGTATCAATGAGAAAAGTAATTGTTTCTAGACAGCAAAACATTTTTCATAACCACATTAATCTGGTAACCTCCCAAGCAATATGGTACATGTTTTAAAAAGCAAATTGTAGGTAAATTACGTAATTCAAAGTCACAAGTGAAATAAAAAATATAGTATAAATAAAAATATTGCTATCCCTACTCTGTTCTACCTGACTGTTGGTATATCATGTGATGCAACACCACTATTCACTGTTGACATAGAATGTGTAAATCAACATGAACCCTATGTATGTAGTTATCCACATATATGGAATTCATATTTAAATAACATGCTTTATGAACCCTGACATCATAGCTACGTGAAAACAAACATTTAATACCAACACATACCTAGACAATCATATTGTGTCACTACTACTGTAAAGGGAACATCTTAACCTACTACAGGACCCCAACTGTTCATAAACACAATAATTCTAATAATTAAGCACTAAAAGCGCATGCATCGACGTGCACTCGCGACAATCATGTACCTACAGGGGAACAAGGACAGGAAGTTGGTACAAAGTGTACAAAGCCTTGATACCAAACCACTGCACAACAAACTAATGGCTTATACAACGTCACCTTCTCTTCAGACACGATGCTCTCGTCGTTCATAGCGTAATTCCCATCGTCAACCTCCCCATTTTCTCCATTACTGCGACGGGTTTTCACCATTGCAGTAGCTGTGTCGTAACTTTACATACAAGACCCAAAATCCGTTATGTAACAGCCCTTCCACGTTACAAACACACGCGTCTGATAAATCATTAACAACACAAACGTTTTGCACTCAAAATAGAAAACTAGCACGACAAAGGACGAGCGTTATCACCCGCACATGTCGTTACACAGCGCCATGTTAAATGAACAATGTACTCTTTCTCCCAGCGACTTTTACAATAGTTAACTCACCAATCAAACGCACCGTTTTCTCTAATACACTTTTTATTTAATAATAAACTATGTCTGTAAAGAAAACCATGAAAAATCAATGAATTAAACTGATACGAAACGAAATCCACAACTCACGATGTTTTTATTGACAACTGTCAAAAATTCCCGCAAATTTGTCATTTTTCAAAATGTTCGGCTCGAAAGCAATTTTTAGCATCTTGATTGTCTATACTCTTTTAACTTGCAGTCAGACCCCATAAAAAGAAAGGCACAAATGGTTTCCACACATGCTTGGAATATAAAATTCTATAACCTGGACTTACAAATTCTTAAGAAATCCTGTACGATTGTTTCCTCTAGGATTCTTACTTTTCACACAGTTCAATCGCTCGATAAACTTTATTCTTATCGTGGTATCGTGGTATGACTGATTCTAACGCAAAGAGAATTTTGAGTGGTACTTACTAATAGAACTATAGAAATAAAACAAAGAAAATGATGATAAATAAAACTATTTTTATTTAATTTGAAAACAATCGATTTTTAAATAAAACAAAGTTAGACTACACCATGCATGTGCTTGTGCACAACACTAAACTTAACTACAACGAATTTAGTAAAATGGCCAACACCAAAGAATATGTAACCACAACACTAACTAACGTAAACGTCAAACAACGTCAATATATTTAGAACATTGACATAGGATCTCAATGATTTAGAATACCAACTTGGATTAGCAATATTTTTAATATAAATATACCCAAATGTTGTAAAAAGCATAAAAATAATATTTATTTAAACAAAGATCAAAGAACCAGACACAAATGTTTAGAAGAACCGCAGTAATATAGGTTTTTAAGTGCAAAACAAGTTTATTTAATACTCGAAAGTAGGTATCGCTTTTTTGATAAAAAAAAAAAATACTGTTGTTTCTGCGTCTTCTAGTGAGTTCTCATAAGGACTTATACTATCTATGTATTTATTTTGAAAATACGAAATAAATGAATTTGTTATTTCAGCATTAAAAATTAAAATGGCTGAAAGTATAGATCAAGTTTCTCCAATGAGTGACCCAAAAGACTTGTTAAACGATACGAACAAACGCCAAGGCGATATTGATTTGGATGAAGAAATTTCGGCGAGAATGACTGCGTCTTATAGTGAAATATCTTTTCACTCTGACCAAGGACAACCAGATGAACAGGAAAGAGTTGCAGGCCCTTCTAGACCTTATGATTTACCATCAGAAAATAGGAAACAAGAAAAGATGCCGTTAGATATTGATGGGCATGTGAGATATGAAGGAGATATGACACATTATGTAGCCGATGATTTAGAATTCAAAATAAAATTATCCAGTCCTATAGCAAAAAGAGGTGAAACCCCAGTATTTGGGAGTTCCAGTGCCTCTCGTTCTAGTACACCTTCAGGAAAATTGTATAAGCAGATATTAGCTCCCCAAATAGGTCAAATAGACATAACAGTATTACATGACCTGGAGTATGAAGCTCAGAGGATTGCACAATCAGTAGACAATTTAATTGAAAACCTGTCTAGTATACTGCATTCTAATTCATCATTGACTGCAGAAAACATGGAAGTGTATAAAGATGCTGTGGGAAAAACCTGTGATGCAATGGATAATAACATAAAGAGTATGTACACAATACTAGCTAAAGGTGAAGAGGTGTCACAAGCTATGATTCCCGTGCAAGCACAAGCAGCCAGGATAGCGGAAATAAAGAGACTTCTACAACTGTTTGAAGATAAATTCTAGTTTAAACCAGTTAACTAATGTGTATTATAATATATAAGTATTAAAAATAATATAAGGATTATATCAGAAACTTACTGTTTCATTTCAATTATATTTTTAAGTTGAAAAAGATTTTTTTAGGTGGTTTTGTGATTTTTTTCCTATTTCCTAAAGGCCGATTTTTAAGGCAGATTGCATTACTTTGCTTTATTTACCTTTATAGTAGAATTTTGTACGATGATACGGACATACTACATCGTTTTCTTCATGTAAATTATCTTAATTTTGTTATGAGTAACCGGTATTTTCGTATTAAATTATACAATTGCAGAATGGGTTTCATTGCAAAAAGTAGGAAATATTTGTAGTTGTATAATTAATGAACACATTATGAAACAATTTTTTGATGTTATTGGCCGCGCCCAGTTTATTTAATATTAATATTATAATCTTGCTACTAGTTACTGAACGAAGTTTGAAGTGTCAAGAAATAGTTGCCAAAATATTTTACCACAAAAACAAAATTGTTATGTAGGTAGTTGCTTGCTTACAAAATTAAATTATAAGGAACTGGATTTAGTCAAGGAAATTATACGATTTTATTTATTTAGTCTTATTTATTAAATTACACATATTCTTTTTTTACTTACCACCCTAACTTAACGTCATGATAACATAAGTTTGACATAACTTGTTCTTGTTGTCATTCATCATTCCGTCATATCGCATCGACCGAGGTGGTTGTAAAATAAAAAGAGAAGAAACATGTGTATTAAATCTATAAAAATGTAAATTGAATTACTAACATGAATGTTAATATCTTTATAAGATTAAGCGTGCAGTTGTCGGTCTCATGACCATTTAACATTCAGCTGCTATATAGAAAAAACGTATAAATGGGTGACGTTCTAAGCTTATTTTCTGTGATAATAATGAAATTTAAATCTAAGTTCAATGAAAGTAAGATTTATTTTCACTATGATCTTCCGTGGGAGAAGCTGAAGACGGTGAAGTGGATGAATGAGAAGGCCACCGCGAACAGGGCCTACGTTCCTACAACGGTGAGTGCAGTTCAATCATATTTTCGAGATTAAATTTCACTAAAACATTCATAAAAACATTACGTGCGTTATTGTTTATAGTGTAAAATATAAGCAGACCAAAATATTAAAGCGGATACGGTAAATAACACCCTGAATTAATTTAAATATTTTCGGGGTTTTATTTTCTAAAAAGTGCGAATCTTGTTTAGTACTAGAAGTGGCGTATACGTATGATTATAAATAAAAAATGTTACTTAAAAAAATCGGGAGGTGTGGAAGCGAGATGGGTCAGGCCTTTGCCCAGCAGTAGGACATTACTACCCAGTTAAATAAAACTTGAAAATTTTTAATATGATTGAAAAGAAACTTTGTATAAAAATCTTATTATGTTCTATACAGTTTTTTGTCATTAAATTATGATATAGTTAAATACTAACTACCTATATAAAATTTCGCTGTAGCAGCAACAGAATATGGAATAAATTGTTATTAATTATTTTCTAAAATAATGGTAAGCCCATTTATGTAAATAGAATGCTCAACTACAAACATCTAAGACTCTAAGGATACCCAATGACCAATATTTTTGATCTACTTCTCCTCTGTATGACTATAATAAAATATTAAATTGAAACGAAAGCAATTGCTTCTAGTGTTTTAAAATCTTATATGAAATTTCTTAATTCATCTCATCCCATGTAAGTTCTATGTTTAAAATAAGAAATAAATAAAAAAACAAATTTTTAAACCAATGTTGCTTTTAACCAAGGAGGTCACAATACAAGAAAAAACATTTCATATGTATTACTTACTACTTACTGTGCATTTTAATCACATTAGAGCAACAATAGCTGTTTCACAATATCTATGTTGCCACATTGTCATTTATATGAAGTCTATTGATAAGGGCCCAATTATCATTCAACTTTACAAATGCTTTCGATGGATAGTAGACTAATAATAAAATATTTATTTCACAAACTGTTATTGTAATACAAACAAAAGAATAACTGTCTGAACCTTTGTCTTGTTTGTGAGTATCACATTATTATAGTAATTAATTAAATAAGCATTCAGTTTGCTGATCTAGTATATCCATGTTATATGTGAAGTGTAATATTTTTTTTGTTTATCAATGTAAAAGTGGAATAAGATTGACAGAGATATATGGAATAATATTGATAGAGACATTGCTTAGCTTTGTATTTGGGAGTGATGAGGAAGTACTTGCAATAACCCTGTTTAAATATTTTCTGCCTACCCCTGCAGATACGAAATGTGCGAAAAATTCTGTCTGTATATAAGCTATGTTACTAATAACTGTGTATTAAGAGCATAACAAACATCGGGTACTTATACTTTTTAGCGCCAAAATAAATTGTTGGCTAGTCGATTTTGAAATCGGAAATATGGAAATGTGATAGGTCGGCAAACCAGCAGACGGATTACCTGATGGAAGGCAAACAGCGCCGCCCAATGGGTGCCCACAACAACGGAGGATTTACGAGTGCGTTGCCGACCATTTGGTGATTAGGGATTTTGAGATTTAAGGATTGGGGAGGGGAAGGATTAGGCTTCCGGTAACATCATTCACACGGCGAAATACAACAGCGTTGTCGTACAGTATCGTACAGCCAACCCATTTATGCCGATGCATGGCTCTGCCACACAAATCCTTCCACTTGACTCAAATACTTAGAAAAAGACTTTAATAAAGTGTAGAAAATTATGCTTCAGTACGAATGATCCGATTCGACCGTAGTGATACCACGGCTTCCCAGAAAACCAGAGTTCAACTAAGCTTGCGGGTGGGGTAACCGAAGGTCGCGGTAACCAGGCCTCCCACCCTTTCTTGCCAAATTCTTAAATCTCTAACGCCCCACACTAGTATTTACTCCTGTGTCGTAGGTGCGTTTACAAACATACAAGTTCACGTACACCTGAGATCCAGACCCCAAACACAATTTGTGGATAACACAAAGAGACAGATGCAGTCGGGTAAAAGGGCGGCAACGCACTTATATACTCCTCTAAAAATGCTCCTATTGCTTGTCATCAGGCGATCCGTCTGCTCGTTTCCCGCCTTATACCATAAAAATAAATAGCTATGAAAATTACTTCGGCAAAACGTAATTTGCAGCAACAATACAATGGAGGTACGCATTTATTAAAATTCCTCGGCTAACGAATACCCCTTTTCATACTCGCTGCTAACGAATGCTGACAATTTTAAATACAATGTAAAATGTGGGAAAAGCATATTTCATATCATAGTTCTGTCACCCAATAGTTCGTACACTACGAAGACTCGTGCCTCTTATCAGTATGGAGATCGCTTATTAACCAGAAACAAAAATAATCAAAAGTTCAAATAACGTTGTGTTTACTCTCCGATACGGAGCATAATCAGTAAGCAAATATTTTGAAAAATTCGTAACACATAATTGTCATAATCTTGATTGACGTGATGGTGTTTGCATGTTTATTTATGGTGTTAGATAACTATAGCTATTGTATCGCCGCTGATATGAAATGTAAATAAAACTACCGAAGTTGTCCCCATCGCAAATAAACTTGACCTACAACTTACAGTTAGTAATAAGTCAATAAATTGTAGCAACACTTGCCACGGTAAAAAATATATAAACTTGCCCAATACGGGGATAAAGGGGAAGAAAAGTAGGCCGCTTGTGGGCGAAATTGGCGAAACGAAATTAATGACTGAAAGACTGCGAACTAATGAAGCAAGATAATCAAACTCAGAGTGACAGGAGTGAAACTTATTCATTTAGCTAACCCATGCGTGTGACTACAAGGATGAAAAACGCTACAAGCTAACCGCTTTGCCGCTATTTACATGGTTTACAGTGCTGCCAAAAACGAAAAAGGTTCTCGAAAATCAACTTACATATTATGTTTATATTTCATTCAAGTTAGACTAATTATTTGATTTTGATAAATCAAGAAAATCGAAGAAAAGTATTTTTGAATCATATTAGGTATAGATATTAATATCAAGTCAAAGTTCAAAACAATTGGATGATTATTAATAGCATCCCACGTAATCTGGTGAAAACATTATCCCTATAACTGACCCAGAGCAAATAAGGTCAATGTCAGAGAATAAAATTACATCGGAACTTTCCAGAACATCGATGAAAGGTTTTTACCGCGTTGCACATGAACTGTTTTAATTATAAATTAGATTAATATACCTAAATACCATATTCATCTATATTCACAAAGGGTTAGAAAAGGGCTAATTCTAAACATCGATTCAGTTGACTAAATACTCAAAATTAAAAACTTCACGCCCATATTTATTCTTCATAATCTTTATTGCGCTCGCAAAGAAGCTAACCAGATTGCCAGATAGTTACGCAGCGCGCTCGTGGTAAGGAAAAAGTAGTGTACAAATATTATGCAACGCTTGTTTACACACAAAATTAAGTGTATTAGTATCTGTCTCGATGATATTATGAAGTACAACAATCACGGACACGAGTCACGCGATGAGGAGATGTAACTTACACGATTGTTACACGATCGTCAATCAAACATACTGCTTTGGTTTTATCATAAATGTTCCCATTAACATTCCGCTTAATGATTCTTATGTTTCTTACCAATTTCACGTTTTAAATTGTTCATTTACACACGGCCTCGTTGTTGTCTTTATATTTACCGTTGTGGTTGTCGATGTCTGTTTATTTTTATAGGTACTAAAATAAATCTCGAAAATTACTGAAACTGATTGGTTTAGTTACACGAAACAAAGAGTTTTCAACGCTTTGTTAGTTAACAGCTTTGTTTTGTGAAGTACTCGGGAAAACAGTGATCATAAAAACATAGTTTTGAGAGTCTATTGAAAGTTTTCATGACTTCCAGTAGCTTTTCAGTTCTAATTTTTTGTTAAATACGAGACGCCAATGTACGACTAGCACGTAGCCAAACTATAGTAATTTAAGTTTCACCTTGCTGTGCAATTTCAAAACTGGTATATTTTTCTCTTAATTTATTCTAGAGACATTTAAATAAATAAAATATCTGCAATATGAAATTCTTAAATTGCACAATACTATAACACAATCCGTAGTACAGACATAACAAAATTACATTAATCATGGCATCTACGTAATTGCGTTAGGCTACGTAACGTCAAGTACAACTAGGTAAGTTATTTAACCTTGAACACACATACAGTTAGCAAAATGCTTCTTGAAGAAATTACTCTGGAATCTTTGATACGATATCCGACTGCTATTAGTAATTGTGCCATTGAGTTCAACTAAAAATTGGCTGCAATTTTACAAATTATTCTACAAGTAATTGTAATCCCCGGGATACTTGATACCCGTAGGCCCCGGGAATCCGAAGACTCATTGCGCTCGCAAAATAAATTAAGCAACTCTAAAAGGATTTCGCGTCAATCCTATTTGATATTTTCAAGCCCAACCCTTGGCCTGCAAACAGAAAACTTTCCTCTCTATAATATTGAGTGGCTACGGTCAACAACGAAAGCGTGGGTGGCCCCCATACGGTCGACGACATTGGAAATATTACAGGTCACATGTGTCGCCGATTAACGGCTGACCGGGAAAATGACCCGAACAAAGAGTCTTATACTGCACTGGACGGTTTATCCAAGACAGACAGATTGTTATACCTACTCTTAATATGTTAGGTACAACAGAACTTTTATCTTATGCCCATTTAACAATCGCGATCTTTATTTATCTCCTCGTTATGTTAAGTATTATGACCGGTTATTTGTTGATCAATTTACACTTAAAAGTCATTTGTGAATTAGACCTGCACAAATCCTTCTACTTGTGCCAAGGATTCGATGTCTATAACAGTACATAAAATACCACACCTTTTATATTTAGCTCTATATATATTGATTTTGCAACATGAAGCCGTACGCCGAAACGGGCTTAAATTTATAAATGCACTGATCGGTTGTTGAGCAATAACCTGTTTAATGTAAAGTATAAAATGCCTTTATGAATTTGTTGTGTCCAGAATCGCCTTTTTGCCTTTCTTTAACCAATTAGTCTCAAACAGATATCATATGTTACATAGGGATAGTGTTTTTAGAAAAGCTTTTCTTCAATCCTCGTTAGCCTATAAAAACGTGGGAAATCTCATTCACTAACCCATTTTTTTCAGACCTAGTATAACGGTCGTGATTCATTATTACGAAGTTAATACGTATTCAGGAAATATATGCAAGTTGGCCGATGATATGGTTTTATTATTCGTCAAAATACCGTCTGTTATTGTTTTGCCAAGATCTGCTTTGATTAATATACGTGCCTACCCTCAAGATTTGATAAAACAAGAGCATTTCAACACATCTGATTTTTATGTATAGGTACCTCATTTGTATTATTTGAATAATTTACCCACTTATTAAAACTAAATATGTGTGCAGACACAATAGCGGTAAATCATGAATGGTTTAATTCAAATGATTTTTTAACAAACTTCTCTTTTTAACAAAATTTTAAAGCTCTATCATCTAGCAAGAGCAAATTGTAATTTTCTTGAAAAATGTCTTGCAGCAAGTGAAGCATTTTTTAATACTTTTGTGAGTTACAGCGAGCTCTCTAGCCGCCAGTAAGCCAGTTAGCGATGAGCGGACCGCAAGTTGATCCAATGTATCTTTCTTGATCCAATTTAAACGGTGCTCCATTTTCTATTATTATACTATGTTAATATTACCCCCATGAACTCAAAGAAATGCTGCATTAGCTCGATGTTTGCTGCAGTTCTTTATGGAATGAATGCCATTAACTTGAAATTATTATGAAGTTGACGCACGCAGCTCTATATCATCTATATTATAATCTCTTGCGTTTTGAAAATCAATAAATCTGAATTGTAATAAAGCCACGACAGTATAATTTTAACTGCCACATGAAGACTGTTTAAAATAGGAATAGTATTTATGCTGTGGGAGTACCGCTTTCCTCCTGAGGGATTCATAAATTTCTTTCACTACAACGAGATAATTCACTTTTATGTTACTTCCCTGTACCTACGCGAGATATATTTTCTAAGGAAATAAGTGTTTTATAACTTTTTCCTAAAGTATTATTGAGAAACGTGGTTCGACGGATCAAAGAAGCATCTATAAATATGATTGTACTCAGTTCGATATTATTATAATCATGCGTTTGAAGTAGGCTGAATGCCTGTAACATTTTATCTTATTGACGACAACGTACGCCCTATGGCATTTAAAATGTTATGAACTCGATAGAAAAATGGAATGGCCAACGAACGTAAACGACAGCTGTCCAGATAAAAATTCAATTTGGTAGCTGAAATACTCCCACGACTATTTGACTGGCGAAATTGTACTTATTTTGTGACGCAGCCAAAAATCTACTTTAGTCGTCAGCACGAGTTATATCATAAGGTTTCTAATACACCTTCGCACCATGCGAGGAGACTTTGGAACATATTTTGGTCCTCGAAATATTCCAAATGAAACATTTTTGTAATGTTATATTTTTCTATTTTTGTTACCAGGTTGAAAATGTTGCGAACGTGTGTACGCACGCTTTATGCGTCGCGCCTGCATCACTGGGTGCGCGGGAGTTGCTCACGCGCTCCGTCAATGCACCGCAAGCCATTGCTGCAGTCGTATATGGGCTTGCATTATGCCTACTATTCGCAGTATCCACCACCTTCCACTCAGTATGCTGCTGCAGGTCCGATACGTAAGTTGATAATATTCAGTATTATTTTTACGATTAATTGCATTCCATCGCTTGAAATCTGTCCTAACTAAGCAGTACTGCAATAAAAAGAAATGTGTAATATTCTTCTAAAATGATAGTAGAGAAATATTGAAACTAAAGACATTAACACTAAAGTTGCAAATAACAACGTGATGTGGGTGGTATAGGGAAACATAGATAACAGCATGTTTTATTAGTAGAGCGCGCGCTTATGTAGACTACCTTGGTCTTTTACTTTTATTAACCTTCCGAAAAATATTTTCGGTATAAATAATGAATCCGAAATTGCCCTCAATAAATAAATTCTACCTCAAGTGCTTGATAACTCAATATAATATTGACTGAAACGCCACTTAAGGATCCTTCAGAACCTAGATGTTGACATTTAGAAACCGAAAGGCCTTGTAAATCCTTTGATGTCTAAAATTATTTTCTCGTTCAGTAATCACGTCCCTTCGCAAAAGGGCCAACTCGATACTTTCAATTACTTGTAATGAAAGTAATGGTAGAAGTTGGAAAGTTTCGTGAAAACTTTGGCCGTTGCGACAAAGTTTTTCCAGCGAAATAGCGGATGGCGTACGCTAAGAAACGACTTGCCCTCCTTACATATCTTTGCAATGACCCACCCCGTATTTTATGGTGTAATGTGGGGCTGGCCTCGATTATAAGCGATCGAACGTATTTTTCGGCCTAAAAATTATAAGGGAAAGGAAACATTGAGGTTCAATCTTTCATATTAACGTAGGTGGATTTATGTTCTGCTCCGATAAACAAAAGCAATCGTGTTATATCATATACAACTCGTTTCGCGATTCCAAGAAGATACTGAAATACTTACTTACATCGTTTGCGCTAATTATTATTTGCTAATGATTAATAGGTCTTGTTTGGACTATATATACCGTATCTACCTGAAACCAACCGGGCCTCTAATTAAATCTAACAGATAACCCTTTGTTTAATTCTACCGTGGTAATTGAAAGGTACCTTGTTCAATATGAGCACGTTATCCTTACCTGTGGTCTAATCAAATTGAGAATCCACAAATACCATACGTAATTGTACGTCCATAACGTCTTTCTTACAAAGACGGTTCTGGTTCGGAAATGGGGTGTTATGGGACGACAAGTTTAAGATGATATATGATGTTCCTATACTTTACTATTGTGTTTATTATCTTTGTAAATTGTATGCACCTCAGTTATCTGATGAAATATAGGATTATTATAAATGTGAATGCTTTGCGTTATTATAACAGAGGCAAAGTACAAGACACCGAGGAATGGGGAGCAGCATTCTTTAAAAATTATCGGTGACCTAACTGCGCTCGCCAACCCGCCTGCCAAGCGTGGTGAGTATTGGCAAATCCCGCCATATGAACTGCTCAGATAAAACCAGGCCCCCAGTCTCCGGCAGTCCCGCCGTTCCTGGCTACCGTGGTAGCGGTCAGGGTAACGGCGGGACACGGGGTGCTAAGAATCCCCGGAGGTGGAGAAAAGGCTACCACCCCCGACGACGACTGGCCCTGGTAACACACAATGTTCGCACTTTGAGGACAGACGAGAAGATTATTGAGCTGGAAGAGGCATTGGGTAGGTTGCACTGGAGTATTGTGGGGTTGTCAGAAGTCCGACGAGAGGGCGAGGACACGATAACTCTAAGATCCGGCAACCTATTCTACTACCGGGAGGGCGAACAACTGTCCCAAGGTGGTGTCGGGTTCCTCGTCCACAGGTCCCTCGTCAACAACATTCTTACCATCGAAAGTGTGTCGAGCAGGGTGGCGTACCTGATACTCAGGGTATCCAATAGATACTCGTTGAAGGTTATCCAGGTTTATGCACCGACTTCGACACACCCAGACGAGGAAGTAGAGGTTATGTATGAGGACATAAGTAGGGCCATACATACTAATAAAACCTACTTCAATGTTGTTATGGGGGACTTCAACGCGAAACTGGGAACTCGAGGCGATAACGAGCTGAGAGTGGGGCAATTCGGGTATGGGCAACGGAACCACAGGGGACAGAGACTGGCTGAGTTCCTGGAGAAGGAGGACCTCTTTGCGATGAACTCCTTTTTCCAGAAGCCGTCTCACAGGAAATGGACCTGGATGAGCCCGGACGGTTCCACAAAAAATGAGATCGACTTCATCATGACAACAAAGCGACAGATGTTCAATGATGTCTCTGTGATCCATAAAGTAAAAACCGGCAGCGATCACCGACTGGTCAGAGGCACATTGAATATCAATATAAAGCTGGAAAGATCCCGTCTGATGAAGTCTACGCTCCGACCTTCAAATGCACATATCGGTTGTCCCGAGAGCTTTCAGATCGAGCTATCGAATCGTTTTGAGTCCCTGGAGAATTGCGAGTCAGTGGACGAGATTAGCAACAGGTTTGTAGAAACTGTCCATGCGGTCGGGTCGAAGTTTTTTAGACCCCGCCGAAAAGACAGACCGCAGAAACTTACCGATCGCACCCTCAAACTCATGGCAGAACGACGTGCTATGGTACTCCAGACCTCTGCCGATGCTAAAGCACATCGGCAGCTCAATAGACAAATATGGAAGTCTATGCGACAAGATATCCGCAACTTTAACGCCAATAGGGTTAAAGAAGCGATAGAGCGGAACCAAGGCTCCAAAGTGTTCGCTAGGGACATGTCTATTGGGCAAACACAGCTGACGAAGCTGAAGGCGGAGGATGGCAGTGTGGCGTCGACGAAGGCCGAAGTTTTGGGTGAGATCGAGAGGTTTTATGGACAGCTATACACATCGGTCACTAAACCTGTTAGCTCAGTCGCCGATCCAAGAGCTAAACTCACCCGACACTATACCGAGGATATCCCGGACATCAGCCTATACGAGATTAGGATGGCCCTCAAGCAGCTCAAGAACAACAAGGCGCCGGGCGAGGACGGAATCACATCAGAGCTTCTGAAAGCGGGCGGAACGCCGGTACTGAGAGTCCTTCAGAAGCTCTTCAACTCCGTCATATTCGAAGGAGCAACGCCGGCGGCATGGAGCAGAAGTGTGGTGGTACTATTCTTCAAGAAGGGAGATAATACTCTACTGAAAAATTATAGACCCATCTCACTTCTGAGCCATGTCTACAAGCTATTCTCGAGGGTCATCACAAATCGTCTCACACGTAGGTTCGATGACTTCCAGCCTCCCGAACAAGCCGGTTTCCGGAAAGGCTATAGTACCATAGACCACATCCATACGCTGCGGCAAGTTATACAGAAGACCGAGGAGTATAACTTGCCACTATGCTTGGCGTTTGTGGACTATGAGAAGGCTTTTGATTCGATCGAGACTTGGGCTGTGTTAAGATCTCTCCAGCGGTGCCATATTGACTTTCGGTACATCGAGGTTTTGAAGTGCTTATACACAAACGCCACTATGTCGGTCCAAGTACAAAACCAGAGCACGAAGAATATTCCTCTGCAGCGAGGTGTAAGGCAAGGAGACGTCATATCTCCGAAACTGTTTACCGCTGCATTGGAAGACGCTTTCAAGCTCTTGGAATGGAAAGGATCTGGCATCAACATCAACGGCGAGTACATCACTCACCTCCGGTTTGCCGACGACATTGTAGTCATGGCAGAATCGCTGGAGGATCTGAGCACAATGCTCGATGACCTCTGTAGAGTTTCTCAACAGGTAGGGCTCCGAATGAACATGGACAAGACGAAAGTCATGGCAAACGCCCATGTCACGCCCTATCCGATATCAGTTGGGAGTTCTAACCTCGAAATTGTTGACGAATATGTATACCTGGGACAAGTGATCCAGCTAGGTAGGTCCAATTTCGAGAAGGAGGTCAATCGTCGAATCCAACTTGGATGGGCAGCGTTCGGGAAACTACGCAACATCTTCTCGTCCAACTTACCTCAGTGCCTTAAGACGAAAGTCTATAATCAATGTGTGTTACCAGCGATGACCTATGGAACTGAAACGTGGTCTCTTACTGTGGGCCTTATAAAAAAGCTCAAGGTCGCTCAGCGCGCTATGGAGAGGGCTATGCTCGGAGTTTCTTTGCGAGACCGTATAAAAAACGAGGATGTCCGCAAACGAACAAAGGTTTCCGACATAGCCCAGCGGATTAGTAAGTTGAAGTGGCAATGGGCAGGGCACATAGCGCGTAGAACCGACGGCCGCTGGGGCAGAAAGGTTCTCGAGTGGAGGCCACGTACCGGCAAGCGCAGCGTAGGACGTCCACCCGCAAGGTGGACAGACGACCTGATTAAGGTCGCAGGAAGCCGCTGGATGCAGGTCGCTTCCAACCGGCCTATCTGGAAGTCAATGGGGGAGGCCTATGTTCAGCAGTGGACGTCCTATGGCTGATATGATGATGATGATGAAAGTACAATGGTACCCGTATACACATACACATTAACGTGTATAGCGAACCTTAATTGCTAATCGCATTGTCGCGAATATTTGATCAAGAAGACATGTCCACAATGTCCAAACTTACGTAAACAATGTTATCATAAACTTACCTAATGAGGTGTCTGCAACTTCAAAACAACTTCAGAAATGATACGCGGTTCGTGACTAGTGTTGAGAGATATTTGTATCAGAAATACATGTCCCAAGGCAATTTTGAAATTGGTGCCGTACCGACACCATGTGCTCCACGTGCCCCAGTTCTGACAAAACTTTATACGGCCGGTGTAAATTTTCTATTTATTGAAGCATAAATTCCCCGACCGTATCGGATGGGGATGAATGCCGTGATTAATTAGGCCAAGGTCAGAACAGAATGCAAGGAATACTACACATACCCTCGTAGTTAATCAGCGGAATTTTCAAAGTAGAATGCTTGTAATTAAATGCTTTACAAACCTAATTAGCTTAATGAGACTCTAATAAGTCAAGCATCATATTTTGGCAAAGGGTTGTAATTACTGAGGAGGAGTGTAGAATAGCGTCATTATTGTTTGTGGCATTGTGGCTGCCGTATTTT